AAAATACACAACTCTCAGTAAAATGTTTTATTTTTTTTCTCAAAAAAAAAAGGTGCATCCTATGAAAAAAAATGAAGAGACCAATTTCATTCAGAATTGATGGAGGATTTCTAAAAAAATATCAAAACGGGAAGAAGTCGATGGCGTACGATTTTTTTAATTAAAAAAGGTTGTGGTGTTCTCGCACGAACGGCCCTGGTGCAGGTAGAAATATCAGATAACCCCAAAAAATGCACATTTATCCCTCCAAACCGTTTTTCAAATTTCTAGTTAATATCTTTAAAACTCTGAATTAATTAACAAAAATAAATTAGAAATTAAAATTTAAACACTCTGTATCTCGGAAACGAAGCATATTTCGACCTACGTTTACATGAACTTTTTTTTACAAAAAACTTCGGCAACCACCCCATATAATATTTTTTATAATCAAGAAAAAGGAATAAATTATTACTTACTAAATTTTTGATATTAGTAGTTTATAATTTAAAAGAATTGATCGCCATTAACTTTTCTCTATAAAACATATCATCTAACTAGTTGATCTATATTTTTAGACATTTAACTGTTCTAATTATCCTAAAAATATAATAATAATAATCAGATTATTAATTTCTAATTTTACAATAGTTTTTTCATCACAACTAACTTCTATTTACAACAACGATAATAAATCACTCTGTTAATTTTGGTCAGACTGCAAAGGATTTCATAGAAATATTAATTTTGAATTTCTAGAGTAGGCAACTTTCCTTACACCAAAGCGTGCTATTTTCGCTGCGGAATAACACACGCGTTGCACATGCAACTAACTGCAGTTAGTAGAAAACAATTGACTCACTATAACGCGCATCTACGCCAACCTTGTGAATTATCTCCGTATCGATGTTATTATTACAACAAGGGCCTACTCGAAAACAAACACAACCTACCTCTAGATTTGACAGAAGAACGGGATATCACTGGTTAAACGTAAAACTCATCGCGAATCGATTCATTGAGATTCACAGGCAGACTGCCGTCCTTGAGAGAATATTTTTATTTATCAAAACATTTTAGGAGAACCGTACCCGGTGAGGCAACTTTATTCAGTCCGTAAGTGGGTTAATTGTTATGTGGTTTTTAAAATAAGTGTACAACGTCGGACAAGATCGAAATAGGTCAACTTGCTAGACCAATTTACCGATACACGAAAAGTGATATATCCCACTCGAAGCGATACCATAGTATATTAAAGAACTAGTTTAGTAAAACTGTTTTCTTACGAGATTTGTTTATACTATGCTTTGCGTTTTTTGTTAGATTAGATTATTATAAGCAAATAGTGATATACAGGGTGTTTTTAAATGAAGTAGCAAAAATGGTACCAGTTAATGTAGAGTCAAAAATAAGAGGATTGAAGTAAAAATACCTTATATGAAAATTGCATTCCTGAGACGATATACCCTCTTAAAGGAGGGGATTGAAATTCACATTTTAATTTTTTTCTTTAACATGGGAAATGCTAGAGACACGAAACTTGGTATGAGCATCCTACTAATAAAGAGACAACTTTCCAATATTTTTCCGATCATTGGCGTATTTTATAAAGGAGTGAAAGAGTCAACCCCATTGCAATTATTTATTTAAAAATATTTATTGGGAAACCTGATTTACTGCACAACTTTTTTACCTCTTGTAATGTCAATGAAATTATACAGATTTGACAATTTTATTTATTTTGAAAATATAATATTTTGCTCCACAGGTTGCTTAATGAAAACTCTATATTTTCACATCTTCTATTAGCCCTTTGAACAAACGCGCTTATTTTAGAAACACCCTATATATTATATTTCAAGTGGCTGAATAAGAAAAACGGGAAAACATATCCTGTTTTATTTGGAATTTTAATACTTTGTAAATTTGTGCATAGCACGTGAAGAGCGCCATTTTGAACAAAATATGTTGTGTTTTATCGTGCATATGGCGATGTATCTTGCAAATTTGTGAATTTTAATTTATTTTATATTGCAACGAAGTGATGTTATTATAGTCTGTTTAGAAATGAAAGAGAGTAATAAAAGCTCATTATGTATGCAAATCGTAAATAAATGTAGTACTGGTGCTTATATTCAATATTTTTATATTATGTATTTTCCGTATAGATGAGGTCTACTTTGTGCGATCGGACTGTACTAAATTGTACAGTTGTAAACAGGTAGCTAAAATTTAATCCCAGTCCATTTCTCTTATAAGTAAACAATATAAAAACAGCATTTCAAAACATGAGGCTACTTTAAGCATCATAACAGGGTTAAGAGGGTTTTTAGTAATTCAAATAAAATTATTCAATATTATTATCAAAATATTTATTTAAATTTAATGAATAGACTTTTATTCCACACAAAAATATATGTATTTTGAAAATTCAAATTATGGTGAGTAAATGTAGTGTTGTATAAATGTACAATAAAGAAAATAAAAAAGTAGGTATATTAAAATTCATCCTCTGAATATTCTGATGAATTATCTTCGTCTCCTAGATTGATAACGATAGGTTCCACAGTAACGTCAATTAAATTATCGAGTTCCCACATTTTCTCCTCTTCTTTTTGTACATGATGTATACATCTTTGCCAGTTATCTGCAGTTACTCGTTCCAAGGAATTTTTTAACAAAATTTTCACGTCACTTAATTTAAACGTCGTATTATTTCGCGCTACATCTCCTTTTACCTGCGCCCAGACTAATTCGATTGGGTTAAGTTCACAGTGATAAGGTGGTAACCGTAGTACCGTTATTTGGCGATTTGTTGCCATTTCATCGATAACATATTTTTTCTGATCTTTATTAAGATTGACAAGTGTCAAAAGTTCCTTTTTCACCATATTTGTTTCAAAAGAAATGTTTTTTCCGGATAACCATTGAATTATATCGGCTTTCCTCCAAGCAGTCGTAGGCGTCCGCTCGGTCTGCCGTGAATGGTAACTGGCATTATCCATGACAATTACAGACCCCGGAGGAATAAGATCCAACATCTGTGTAAAATACTCTTCGAAAACATCTGCGTTCATGTCTTCGTGATAGTCACCTGTATTTTTAGATTCAAATAAAAGTAAACCGCCATCTACAAAACCACTGGCACTACCTATATGTGTCACTATTAATCTTCGCCCTTTACCTGAAGGTGCCTTGAACCCTGTTGAAAGTCCATCCAAAAATGCTTGTCGAAAACTTTTTACATTTTTATCTTGCCATACTTTTGTTACAGTATATCCCTCGTTGACCCAAGTTTCGTCTAGATAATAAATATTCCTCCCTTCGTCACGGAATTTTCTAATTGATCTTAAGTAGGATCTTCGCCAACAAATAATTTCATCTTTATCGATAAGAACTGACTTCCTGTTCTGCTTTTCCCAGCAAAAATTCAACTCTCGTAAGACGGCCCATAATTTGCTTCTACTGATTTTTGGCAAATCGTTGTCCTCTGAAAGTTCACTTAAAATTTTGTTTAGCGTTGGTATTTCTTTTTTAAAATAAAATGAGTGTACTTTAGTCACTAAACACAAGTCGAATTTTACTCTACTGCACTAGCACGTCTTCGTATATTCAGCTCTAAGACTGGATTGATCTGTCACAATACACTGTCACAATACACCCATTACCTGTTAGCATTAGTGTTATCCGATAATTACCTTAAACGAAATATTAGCACGCCCATGGCCGGTTCTTATCTCGGGGTTTTATTACTCTCTTTCATTTCCAAACAGAGTATAGAACAGTGGCATCTGTAACCCCTTCAACCACTCCACTGAGGTTTAGGGATTTTCAGTTGGTAGTACCAATCCTACAAAGTCTCCATGGTCTACCACCCTGCCATATTTATTAGACAGCAACATATTTCACGGAAATACTCCTTTCAACTAGGCAACCTTCTTTACATCAAAGCATGTTATTTTCTCAAACGCAGAAAATGACGAGCAATAACGGGCGTTTGCAGCGAATTATTTCAAGAATTTTAACAAGAACACCGTGACGCCAAACACAACATACCTTCGGATTTGACAGAACAACGGGGACGATTAAATACGAAACTTGCAAAATATTTTTTGTTTCATTTACAATTTCATCGATTAAACAGTAAATAAAAAAACTAAATATAAAATTTTTATTGTTAACACTAGCATAAATACAAAAATGAAAAGTTATGAAAAATAATTCTTCTCCTAGAACCCCTGTGCAGCTAATTAAACTAATTTAGTATATTTTTCCCCACCATAAAATGCGATTTTAAGAACTCACTCTCACAACAAAAGTATCACCTTTTGGATGTCGCATTTTACTTCGGCAAATACTTCAGGGATTCAATTATCCAACAGAGTGGATAAGCTCTCATTAAACAACAGTAGACGTGAAACAATAGACTCTTTTAGTGCGACGTCACATATTTCGGCAACCCGCAACATGTTGTCATAATGGAAATTGTACAGACCGAATCTAACCTTTGTGTACTATTTACATAGACACTATAAAAATGAACAACTTCAAATTAATTTAGTTTTACAAGGATTGGAAGTATTTAAGAACAACCAACACGTGCTTGGTAAAATAGATACATAATGTGGTTAAAACTTACAAAAGACGATATAAAAGAATATTCCTGTAGCGGTGCGCTACAATAACATTTATTTTGCTTTCTGGGATTTTACGAGCCATATAAATTATACTTTGAATTATCCGAGATCATCCCAAATAAATGTATTTAGCAAATGAGATTAGAATAAGTAGGCTGTAAACATAAATTAGTTGTTGTTTATTAGGGTACATAAGCACAAACCGAGTAGGTAATGACCTGGATAAGTGTTAATTAGGATAGGGTAATAAAAGTAGGTACCTGGGGTCAAGGATAAAACCGAAAACATTTCGATAAAATTTTAATTCATTGATTACTATAAAAATCAATATTGTTCTATAAATTTGAATACATAAATTCTATAATTCTTTTACTTTGTCTCTTGGGGTTTGAGGTTTGAAACTTCTTAAATATTTCTAATATTGCTCGAATATCGCGTATTTAAGGTCAAGACAAAGAAGACATTTCTTGGCACTTATGTAACATAAGGTCGAAAATCGATCTATTAAAAATATTGGGAAATTCTTTATGAAAATGGGGTTGACTATTACTTGGCATATGTGACGTCACTATTAAAAAGATCTATTGACAATTGAGGCGGGAAAATTTAATAAACACCTCTTCAAAAAAAATTATTTATTTTTTTATGACTACTTATTAAAATTTCTTTGGATTTTAGTAGGCACACGTGTTTGTCTCTTATAAGTTTTGTACCATCTTTTTTCTTCTTTTCTTCTTCATATCAGCTTTGTTTGTAGGCTTGTGTGGCGTTCGTCAATGCTCGACCAATTTCTAGAATGGTTGCCACATCGTCGGTTCAGACGGTTCAGACTTATTGATGTTTCTTCTTCAGAATAAACCTTGAAACTAACAGTGGCGTGACTCTGAAAATTGGTCAACCAATCTTTACCCATTTAGGGTTAACAATAATTGCATATTCATATAAATACATCCAATTTGCAGATTGGTAGATATAGTATAACTTTAAATATTATATATTTGAGGTATATTGTTACAATGTGCAGTCATGTGGGTCAACCTGTTATGCTGATAGTGCTTCTAGAACCTTTTTCTTCTGTTGACTTTTCTTCTTCTTCTTCTTTGACGATTGGCAAGTTTCACCGCTCGATTGTGCTGTTTCAACAATTGATTGATCAAAATATTTCTTTTCTTTATATTCCAATTCAGTAGTGCTGTCGTTTGTATTGGTTCCAGAAGGATTCTCAATTTCTTCATTTCCTTTATGTTCCGTTTCAGTAGTGTCGTCGTTTGTATCGGTTGCGAAAGTATCTTGAACTTCTTCCTTCTCCTTATCTTCCAATTCAGTAGCGCTGTCGTTTTTACTGTTCTCGAAAGGATCTTCAATTTCTTCCTTTCCCTCATGTCCCATTTCAGTAGTGTCGTCGTTTGTATTGATTGTGGAAGTATCTTCAACTTCTTCCTCTTTATCTTCCATTTCGGTAATGTCGTTTTTTGTGCTGGTCTCGAAAGGATCTTTAATTCCTTCCATTTTAGTTGTGGGAGGAGTTTTAAGGTCAGACCATAGAGGAGCTGAAGGTTGGAAATCTTCTTCCAAAGGATTGTTCGACTGAGATTTAGCGAACCCCTTCAAATCACAGGTAGGTGGTTTTGCAGGCATGGGCATAGGCATTAGAGTAATCTCATCATACCTTGGAGGTGGGTAGGGTGGAGGTACTTGTGGAGGGTATGGAGCAGTGTTGATAAGTAAAGAAGAATAAAACTCGGCTAACCTCGGGTTATTGAAATGTTCCTCTGCAATAGGATACGGAGGCACTACGTTGCGTGGATAAGGAAGAGTGTTTCTTTGAAACAAATGAGTAGGTTGTGAAGGCATAGGCATTCTTTTAGGTAATTCAGAGGCGCCAGTAACTGATTTGTGAAATAAAGGTTGACTTTTCTCGTCGTTCTCTGTTGGATAGGGGCAAATGCTTACACTGGGATATAGTGTACCCGAAGATTTTTCTTCTTTGGGATAAGGACAGTAGTTGCTTGATGGGTAAGGAAGGTTTCTTTCTTCTACAGGGTACGGAGGAGATTTATTTGCTTCTGGCACTAGTACCTCCTCGACATCGAAGAATAGCTCTGGTTCGGAAGGCGTTGGATAAAGTGGCACTGGATTTGGCCCGGTACAAAGCTGTCCGGTTGAACTTCTGAAGTTTCGTAATGGAGGATATAACTCTGCTGTTTCAGTTGGTAGACTGGGAGAACGTAATAGCCAAATATTAGCAGACGGGTCCCACATCATGTCATCCGCAGGCGGGCAAGTTTTTGTAGAATCTGAAAGGGGAAGAATGAAATTGTTAATGGCGTTTTACTTTCTTTGTGTTGAAACAATAGTTATAATATAATTCTACTTGTTCTCATGGATTTTATTCCGAATATTGAACAATAACCTTGGATTGTTCTAAAAACCAAGGACCATGACAAGAAGTTGCTAATAATCTACATACTCCGACCATTAGCGACTGAGACATCTTTCTCAGCTTTGATGTAGAGCTTTGTCTAACATCTTGTTACTTATTGTGGAAAGGAAGTTCCTATGAGCAAACCCATAGCTTGAGCTCCCTGATCTCTGGTAATGGCAAACTGTTTGATGGAACCTTTGAAAGGATAGTATTGGATAGTAAGCTGAACTCAAACCAATATGTGGTAAAGAAAGCCTCAATAGTTTCCTAACCTATTTCAACGTCTGTCATCCAAACATTCGATTCAGTATGAGGAAAATGTAAAACAACCGGTTTAGTATCTAGAAATCTGCAGCAGCTAGCCGAAGCGAACTCGAACCTCAGGCACAAAAAAGGACTGTAGTCAAAACATTAGTCGACATAACTAGGACTATATAGAAACTTTTATATTTCTCATAGTTACCTTGACGATTTTTAAAGGTTCCCCTTTGTCTATCGTGTAAATAGTGCCCCAAAACTACGTCCACTTCTACTTTCAATTCAGGTCTGGAGGAGTCCTTAAACAACGCCGTAACCTAGGAAAACAGTTATAATTGTTACCATATAGGTGTGATGAAATTTGAAACAAATAATTTTCATAATGTTGACGAAAAATAAGTGAAACAAGTATTAGTAGGTACATGTAATATAATGTAATCACATATCGTAACTTTGGGAGTTTATTTACTATTTTAGATAAAACATTGTAATAAATCAATGTTGAAATTAAAAAAAATATGTCCCGTTTACTGAATCATCTCTGAAGAAGTTTGACTTAAATCGATGAAACTTGGTCTAATAATAAAATTAATTCAGTGAACCCAACAGTAGCAGAGACACTACTATCGTGAAGTACCTCAGAATATCGGCGCCCTTGGTACCTTATAAACTGGATAATTCGACGCGTTAGTACGACAACATGCTATCTTAAATTTAGCTTGGAAAACATGCTAGCTCATATCTTTAAGTAAAAATATGCTATCTCGACCAAAAGTAAGTTTGACTAGAAATTTAAGTTGGCGTTTATTCATTTTGTTAAGTTACTGTTACAAACGAAGAAATTGTTAATTAAAAAAATAGAATAATATAAGATAATAATAATAATATAGAATAATATAATACAAATAATTAAAAAATAGTGTATACCTTAATATAAGTATAAAATTTGTTATTATTACTAAAAATCATTCGATTTTTTTCATACAAATTTGCTTTGATAAAAATTAATAGCGCACTCTTATCTGATTTATAGTCACTACCCTTCCATTTATTCTAAAAATAATTTTATATGCCTTAATGTGGACTTCAATGAGGCTGCAATAAAAAGGATTAGGTATAGTGGACCAGGCTAGGCTCCAAATCCTGGATCCGAATCGTTCTTATCTGGACGATATGCCTGTGTAGAGCAGCTATACCTGGATTGTCTTGGCAATTGCTCTTAACTTGCATTCAGGAAACTCTTTATTTTTACACACAGCTTTGTATTTATAAATGTATAATTAAAAATAACAAAATTTTTTCAGTTTTTTTGTGAAATACGGTTTTTACAATCGTTACTTTTCAAACAAGAACAAAATGCCACAAATTGTAGAAAAACATCATTTATTCATAAATTTTCATTAATAGCGTCAACATAATAACCAGAATATAAATATAATGTATAAAGTTGAACGATATGTACGGTAAACATATGTGCATATCATATGCTCTGCGCCCGTCGCATCGATATCCAGCAGATCATAAACTACCGGTAAGAAAAGTGTCGCGGACCTGCATTTCATTTCCAATGTTTATGCAAGCACGCGGCTACTGTACCTTTAAGAAGCCATTTGTTTTTATTGAGGTGCAGTAAGAACGATTCGGACCCGGAGTTTGGGGCCTAGCCTGGTCCACATATAATCATTTTTATTGCAGTCTCCTTAGAGTTCGCATTAGGCATATAAAATTATTTTCAGAATAAATTGTGCATCCGAGATTTTGTGAAAAAAAAAGTGTATCAAGAGTAGTGATTATAAATCAGATGAGTGCGCTATTAATTTTTATATCAAAGCAAACTTGTATGAAAAAAATCGAATATTTTTTAGTAATAATAAACATTTCTATATATTAAGATATACACTATTTTTTTATAATTTGTTATATCAAAAAACGTCGAGTAATGTACGTGTTACAGCATACTGCATATTATTTTATTTTTTTAATTAACAATTTTGTCATTTCAACGCCAATGCAGCCAAATTTCTACTCAAACTTACTGTTGCGTGAGATAGCATGTTTTTACTTAAAGATCTGAGCTAGCATGTTTTCCAAGCTTAATTTGAGGTAGCATGTTTTCCAAGTACAATTTTAGATGGCATGTTTTCGTAGTAACGCGTCGAATTGTATTTAATTGTTTATTAGAAAAGCGATATATTTTAGAGTTACAAAACGAAGGGATTTCTAATCGTTTCAGAAGCTTTAAACACCTGGGCAGAAGAAATAAGGTCCAAGGCCTGTTCCCTGAGGTACCCTCACCTTTAAATATTCCTTCTGAGTGAAAAGGGTACAGTTCTGGAAATTCGGAATTTCGGTAGAGAACGGTATTTCTAAGCGGAACGAATATCTCTTTGTTCCAAATTCTAATCCATGCCGTTGATCTCTAGCTAACAGCCTGCGGACAGTTAGAAGTTCATGAAATGGCAGGGCGACTTTCGCCACAACTTTCTGAAAAATTTGATTCGTTACTAAAATAAAAATACAGGGTCGGAAAGTACCGATGGTCCATCTGCCGTTACGTGAGAGCGATAAAGTAAGTCACAGAAATCCGTGCGATAGAGAAAGATGGCTATAATGAAGGCGTCTAATAGTCACCGCCCATTTCGCCCTTTCACAAATAAGAAGTGGATCTTATTCTGACGTAACGGCAGATGGACCATCGGTACTTTCCGAACCTGTATAGTTTTTACAGGTGTAGGATTTTGATTTCTTTCCACATAGACAGTGGTTCTCAAAATGTAATTATGTACGTAGTCTGTTCAGAAAATAACCGATCCTCTTGAATTACGCGCTAATTTAGTGACATAAGGTTGGTAGCATTGCGTTGTGCATAACCTCAGTAGACGGGCTATGAGACCACGAGGCCAAAATCCCATGTATTTTTCTATGGAGATCCATTCTGGTCATTTTTGAACCACTTTAAGACTGTCTGGCATTGGTAGTGGGTGCTGGGAGGTGGAAAGGTGGAGCTGGCATTGGTAGTGGGGGGAAGGCTGAGATGGGCGGTGGGAAAGTGGTTCAAAAATTACCAGAATGGACCTCCATAAAAAAATACATGGGATTTTGGCCTCGTGGTATTATGGTCTATCTACTAATATAAACCGGATTTATTTTAATGCTGTTACTAAACAAAAAGAGTAAGAACGTAGCATTTGCGGAGTGATTTTAGAATGTACGAAATTTCGTTTAAATATCACATCATAATAAAAATTGACCTTTATCTATAACTTACATCATATAGTTCAACAAGAACTGCATAAATATCCAGAAAAGTGTCGTTGAATAACGTTACGTCTACATTTATAGTTTCACCCACGACGAAAGCGGTTTTTTCCAGCTTGACGTCCATATTGACTATTTCAGGAATAAAGAACCATTTGTACATCACTAACTTCTTAAAGTGGGTGCTTGGGGCCTAAAATCAATACATTCTTACGTAAGTGATAAACTCAATAATAAAATGAAAATATGTGGGGTGTCCAGAAGAGAATAGGCCTCACTTCAAGGACTCCCTTAGATGAAAGTCAACAGATTTAAATCAAGTCATTTTTGTACAACGGGCACCGTTGGCATATTTTTATTAATTTATTTACAAAAGATCAATTTTTTTGCAACAATTTCTCTCTCAAAATAATTACTATAAAAAATAGAGCGCGGGAGCCATGTTGTGACGTCATATCATTCGTTAGCGGCTAATCCATACACAATTTGGCTGGGTCCCACATATGTCTTGTGATATCTCCAGCTGTAGGGGTATAGTCCAGACGGTATCTGTTTCAAAAAGCCATATTTTGGTGAATCGTATATCCACGGAGATTTTTGGCTTTTTGGCTTTCAAATATCACTAGAAATGAAAATTTTTCTATGAGCGTAAAAAAAACATGGGCTTAACTTTTGGCGGCACAATATGTTAAAAAAATTCGAAAAATGTCATATTTTTCTTCCTATTTAATTATGTATCTTTTCAAGAGTTGATTTTAGGCGAAAATGGAAGAGGAAAAAAATGTTTGTAATTAAATTTTTTACAATACATGACTGGTTACAAATCGAATGAATCATGATTATTATGGTAAAAATCGAAAAAATCACAAAAATGGGGTTAAAAAACAATACTTTTTAGGGAATTTTTTTGGTGTATTTAAATTGGGTGTAGGACCTTTATACTTGGCTCAAGAAAACTTCATGTTATGTAGAATCATCACACCAAATTTCATCAAAATCGGTTCGATAGATTTTGCATAATAATTTTGCAATCCAGATTTTGAAAAAAAAATTGCAAATTTTCAAAATTTTGCACAGCAAAAACCAAGGCCCTTAGATACTTGAAAATTTAATCACATATAGAAGGGCTCTCAAGCTTTCAAACTTTTTTTGAAAAATTCGAATCCGTCAATTAGGAGAGCTCTGGCGCTTGTTTAAACATTGGTCGAATTTTTGTACTTATAAACAATTAGAACTTTGTGAATATTCAATCAAATCAAATTTTTTAAAGCAGGTTTTAAAAGTTCTTGGAAAGACGCTTCTTTAAAAAAAAACAGATCGATTGATCAATTAGTTACGTAGTTATAGCCGATTCAATTTCGAGCAGGCCGAAGCGGCCGCGCTCTCTGCTTCCCCCACCACCACCACCCGTACGATTTTATTGAATTTCTCGCTTGCATAAATAACTTTAAACACGTTTTAAAGTAGGTTGCCAATGAAGAAAAGTATTGTAATCTTAGACCTGGTAAGTACTCGGAATACCAAAGGTATTTTTCGAAAAATTAGCCCGGATGTCCCAGTACATTTAGTGTAAATGACGGCTATAACTACGTAACTAATTGATCAATCGTTGTTTTTTTTTTAAAGAAGCGTCTTTCCAAGAACTTTTAAAACCTGCTTTAAAAAATTTGATTTGATTGAATATACACAAAGTTCTAATTGTTTATAAATACAAAAATTCGACCAATGTTTAAACAAGCGCAAGAGCTCTCCTAATTGACGGATTCGGATTTTTCAAAAAAAGTTTGAAAGCTTGAGAGCCCTTCTTGATACATAAAGATACATAATTAGATAGGAAGAAAAAAATTACATTTTTCGAATTTTTTTAACATATTGTGCCGCCAAAAGTTAAGCCCACGTTTTTTTTATGCGCATAGAAAAGTTTTCATTTCTAGTGATATATTAAAGCCAAAAAGCCAAAAATCTCCGTGGATATACGATTCACCCAAACCAAAACAGATACCACCTGGTCTAGTAGGCAAATATGTTGTTACAAGTTTTTATGACGAAAGAGGCTTGATTTTTCGAACTGTTAAATGTAGTTGTAGACCTTTTAGCAAAAAGGAAGGGATACGCGCTAACGCCAGCGACACACGAGCGTTTAATTAACGCACGTCATGATGCTCGTCGTTCATAAGGCGCGTTGCAGTACTCGCGTTGACTGTGTGACTTGTTGTATTTCGATTTGTATAACGTTAAAACGCGAGTCAACAAAGAACCCGTGTGTCCCTGGTAGGAAAAGAAGTTTTCTTTTTACATAGGTATTTTTTGTTATATCATTTAGCTAAATACAGGGTGTCTCACGATGAAGGCCCACTAGAATTATTTCAGAGACTACTTCGATTTGAATTTTGAAAATAATGGCGTCCACGTACCACTTCCGATTATACCGAAAATCGCCATCAACTTGCTTATTTTAAATGGAACACCCTATATTATATTATTGCAATTTTGGATTCTACGTGTTATTTTGGGTGGACTTTTATGAAGTTTCCCTATTCCTAAAATTAACCGTTTTCGAGATATTTATTTTTTTTTTTCAAAAAAAAAATGGAGAGAAACAGTGACTAGCTTCAAACCATGTACATATTGAAGTGCCATTGTAAAGAATCCTGTTAGCTATTTCATTTTTTTTTGCTTAAAGTATCAGCAACATAACTTTCTGCAATTGTGGCTGATTTCCACCTACCATGTCTCATGATTGCTAATACATCAATCCTATATTAGCCAGTAACGTTGCCGATGTTCTTCGGAATGAATAGCCTGTATATGTTTCAGGATGTTCTAGTTTCAAAAACTGTGCAATCTTATTAGGAATCATAGACACTGTATTCTTGTCGACTGGTTGGTTGTAACATCTACCTGCTCGATAGCGCATAAAAAAGCGTGAAATTTCAATTTTAATTTCCAATCTAATCTTGATATAATAACCATAAAGAACTGTGGAAGCAGATAAAATGTTATACACCACGCAGCAGTTAAGTGTAATTTACCAGTCTCGGACTCTATTGCTAGATCTAGCTCCGCTCGGGCGCAAAATTGCCCTCGACTGGTAAATAATACTTACCTCTTTTTTGGTGTAAATAACTATTGACAAATCGGCTACAAATATGTTATAGAACAACACATTGAGATGCACGAGCGTCGCATAGTAACGAAAAAATGTTATTAACAATAAATTACGATGCAAAAATTGTTTTTGGCTGTTTTTCTTCAATATCTCGGTTAGATCTCACTGTGCGAAAAAAGTGCAAGAGATCATTCTTGTTTTAAATAAAATTTTCTAAGATAACATTACTCCATTTTTTTTATTGCAAAAATAATTTCGCAATTAATAAAAAATTGCGAATATAGATTATTGTTTTTCTTAAAATTGTCGTTAATTTTCTAAAAATTAATTAAACTCCATGAAACTTTCGGAAAGTACTCTTCAACTTATTACTGAGCTCCCGAAACCCGCTAGAATGGTTTTGGTTTGTTGATACCTGTTAAGTAGAAACATGGACGTTAATAAATATGGAGAAGTATACGATTGAAGAATGCGGCTTTATTGTTAAAAATTATTTTAAATTTGGTGAAAGTTATGCATAAGTTGGAAGAAAATGTCGTACAAAATATGGAAGAACAAGTTGTCCAACATGCAGCACCATTCGAAATATTGTGAATAAATTTGAAGAAACTGGTTCAATTCGAGATCAAAGAAGTAAAATTTACAGTCGTGCTGGTCGTTAACAAGAAAACATGCCAGATCCAGTGCTGTCAATTGTTTAAGTTTACTGCGCACGTTGTATTATTGGCAAGTTCCGTAGGTCCTGCTGACGATTTAAGGTGGTAATATCGGCCCCTGCGTCGGCTAACAGAGTGGCGGAAGAACGTCTAAAGCAGTGCCCTGTATAAGTTTCCGGATGAGGAAAATTGAGACAAATTGCTTTTCTTTTGGCACATTCCTTATTTTCGTGACGCAAACTACTTGGTTAACACATTTTTAACTAATTTTTATTATTTATTAGGTTGCTATCGTTATAATAGTCACCGCGCCCAAACCGACTTGATTCAAACACGGTTCAAACAATTTCAAATATAAATCAAATTGTTGTATATAACACAATTGTCTTATTTTATTGCAATTTTCCAAAAAATATTGCTTACATCTCGAAGGCGAAATGCTTTTGCGTTCTCGAATGGATATTTTGCCTGGCTAAGCTCGGCAAAATAACTTCCAATCTTGAACGCAAAAGTGCCATTTCGCGTGCTAGATACAAAAATAACTATTTCAGCATGTAAAATTGGCTTTTGTTCACGATTTGTGAAAAAAAATTGGGGTTTATACTCCAGTCGGGTTGGACAAAAAAAGGGCTTAACCGGGAAAAAATTAGGGACCACAATTTTATTGTTCTAACCTTTAGAGGGGGGGGGTCCAATAGTAGTGTAAATTCAGAATCGCGACTGAATTCCACCCCTGCGTCAGCCGCCATCTTGAATTTAAGGAAAAATAGTTTTTGCTCAACATCTCCGCCATTTTCAACTTTACAACAAAAATGGTAAAGACTTAAGTTGTTGCAAATGCGATTTCCTACAACTCCTTTGATTACAAATTTTATCGTGCGATCGATATTTGTCAAGTTAAGGGGGAAAATAGTGACAAAGTATAATTATTGAATTATCTCGTTTGTTATTGACTTTACGACATAAATATGTATAAACAAAGTTGGAAAGAATTATATTTTCTACAATTTTGATCTCTTTGATTTTTTCGCTACTACCAACATTTAAGGTCCTACACTTGCGGAGACGTCAGGCCTATGGAGTGTTGATCCCCTGAGTTTAGTTAGGCTTGCCATAGGCGTATGACCTTAAATGTTGGTAGTAGCGAAAAAATCAAAGGGATCAAAATTGTAGAAAATATAATTCTTTCCAACTTTGTTTATGTACATTTATGTCGTAAAGTCAATAACAAACGAGATAATTCAATAATTATACTTTGTCACTATTTTCCTCCTTAACTTGAAAAATATCGATCGCACGATAAAATTTGTAATACAAGAAGTTGTAGGAAATCGCATTTGCAACAACTTAAATCCTTACCATTTTTGTTGTAAAGTTGAAAATGGCCGA